AGAAGTGGCTATTTTAATACCTTGAACTCTCTTCACACAGGTCTACATATGCGGTGGGTTTAATGGGAACGAATGCCTGTTTACAGCAGAAGTGTACAACACTGAGAGTAATCAGTGGACAGTCATAGCACCCATGAGAAGCAGGAGGAGTGGAATAGGTGTAATTGCTTATGGAGAACATGTATATGCTGTAAGTTCCTCTAAGACCATAATATAGAAATGACTGTTAAGTGCCACTGAGTTGGTTCCAACGCACAGCGACCCTGTATACGGTTTCTGAGGCTATGAATCTTTGTGGGAGCAAAAAAACTAATCTTTCTCCCACCAGATAACTGGTAGGCTCCAGTCACTGACTGAGTGGTTTGCAGTCCAGTGCTTATCCTACAGAACCATAGAGCTCCCATAAATGATTAACCCCTAAGTTTATATTTGCAAATTGGTTTACTCTACTATGGGTAAACACATTTGAAAAGCGTTGTGATTCATAGTATGTAGGGGGAATGTTGGCATCAAATCACTGGTCCTCCCCAACTAGGGCTTTCTCAGTAAACAGAAGAAATGCTTCACAGTTAACCATTTCTTTTGCAACCTACAGGTAGGAGGCTTTGATGGAGCTAATCGCCTCAGGAGCGCAGAAGCCTACAGTCCAGTGGCTAATACTTGGCGCACAATCCCTACCATGTTTAATCCACGTAGCAATTTTGGCATCGAGGTGGTAGACGACCTCTTGTTTGTGGTGGGGGGCTTTAATGGCTTTACTACCACCTTTAATGTGGAATGCTACGATGAGAAGACTGACGAGTGGTATGATGCCCATGATATGAGCATTTACCGTAGTGCTCTGAGCTGCTGTGTGGTACCAGGGCTGGCCAACGTCGGGGAGTATGCAGCCAGACGGGACAACTTCACAGGATTAGCATTGCGAGACGAAGTCAAGTATTCCGCTTCAACAAGTACCCTACCTGTATGAGCCTCTTCATTTAGCTAATAAAAAGTCTAAGCAATAAGAATTAATTCTTTTTTTTTTAAATAAATGCAGTGTTTAAACTTGTAAGAGTACTGGAAAGTGTTCAACTTAAGAAAGGGTTGGATGAATGAGGGAATAGGAGGGAAGGAAGAAGGCAATTATATTTAACCGTGCAAAATAAAAAGGTAACAACACCATCACACACACAATACAAACCAGCTCTAAAGAAATATGTTTATTTAAAACTTACATTGAAACAATTAGTAGCTTAAACATAGAACAGGAGAGCTTTAGGAACATAAGCTATTTTACAATGTGATGTCTCTAAGTGTCCTAAATACTCAAGCTCCTCTGACTTCAGGGAGACAGCCAAGATCATACTTTGAGCAGAAGAGGTGCCTGCATACTGAGAGCCCAAAGAACTCACTGTATCAACTCAGATGAAATATTTACTAAATAACTCAATGAGTCCTAGCACATAAATCATAAGGTCTCTGAACAGCTGGCAAGCACTACTTTTCATGAGTGCATTATACAGGAGAGCTAAGTTAACAAGTGCTCTATCGTATGTGCTTCCAAGTAAGACATTTATAGTAATGACCATATAGAATAAGACCGAAGCCCATAAAGGTAATAACAAAGACAGGTATTTGGCTATGGAAATTCTCTGAAGTAAAATGACTATATTATGTTACTGCATCACATCACAACTATGAGCGGGTCTGTTTCAAACAACCAAAATACATTAATGTAAGCCTTGTAACAAAAATGGACTTTTCTCAAGGTAGTAAACTAGAGTAGTGAAATGTGACACAATGTTGACAGCCAAAACAGAGAGGAGCCTGAATTGTTTCTCAAATAGTCTACAGTTAACTGGCAACCTAGTGTAAGCAGAGAACTTGCTTCTCAAGTCTGTGTATTTTCAAGGACACAAAATACAGTCAGTGTATCCTTTTATGCAAGCTTAATTTGAGGAAAGTGCAAAAAGTCCCTTTAGATTAGACCAAAGAAATAAAATACACAATTCAGCTCACCCCTATCTAGTGTTGATATTAGAACTGTGAAGCAGAGAATGAAGTGTTTTAAATATAGCACATGCGACACTATTTAGCCAAGAGAGAAACATACAAGAGAAAAAAGTATGTCCTAGAAACTGCCTCATTGGCAGCTTGAAGGATTAAATTCCATATATACTATCTTTCCAGCTTTAAACTATGCTATATGAAAAAGACATCTTTTCCATTTTTTTGGTCCCAGAAATGCTATTCAAAACCAGATGATCAAAAACCTGCTGTCAACGACTTATAAGATTTATTTTTCAATTGACATTGCAAAAGCAAAGTTGAATATCAATAAACTCAAGACTAATCATGCAAATAACTGAAAATGAGATGTATTATTTAAACAGTAAGCTCATGACTGACATTCTCAACATATACCTTTGATACATACCTTTTCAACATGGTAAAGGATACCCATTCTAAGGTATAAGTGATGACATTCCAAGTTACATACAAGAGGACTCCAAAAAGTTCATGGAAAAATTCCTAATCTTTCTTTTCATTTTTCACTAACTTTTTGAAGTTATTCTTTTTGGGTATAATCAATTCTTCCCTCTTTCTTCCAGAAAACAACAACAAATATGTGAATACACATTAAGCTGCATTTTAAAAAAACTGTTTTTGACTAAATTACCACAATCTTTTTGTTTTTATCAAAAAGGAAATTTTCTCTCTCAAAGATTCATCTTAGGTTTTAGTGGTCATAATTAGAACTTTTACAAACAATCTGGCTAGTTATTTACAGCTTAGTTTCAGAATGTCAGCCGTGAACAGATTAAGCAAATCTGATATCTTTCTGCATTAACAAGTTAGTTAGGATATTTCAGAAACACAAGTTATTGATGTGAAACTACATGTGTGAATTCAAATATGACAATCAGGAATTCAGGAGTCAGGAAACCTGCACACACTTGTCATGCAATAAAGGACTTACCCCTTCTTTTCAGCCATGGCCTAGGCCGCCTGCTGAATTAAGAAACAAGTTTCAATCAAGGTTTCCAAACCAGACTAAATGTAAACCTTATGAGTTATACCTAAACCTTATGAGTTACAAATTCTATGTGGGAAAATACAGCTCTAATAACTTGGTAGTAACTGTCTCAGAAGACAACTCTGAGACAAAACAAACACAAAACGACCCTTGCTTATATCATACCCTTCTGGTAAGAAACTAACATTCTAGGGAATGAAGTTTGTTCTGCTGTCTACAAGAAAGATATGTGAACTTCTTCAATGAGCTCTTCCTACTTACAGACCTCTCACACTTAAGATAAATGTGAACTAGCAATGATCAGAATCCAAAATGGCTTTTATTAAAATGACTACAAGTAAGTAGAGCTAGAAAAAACAAGGAGAGATGGGGAAGGACTATAGACTTACAGCTTTCCCCCAGTCTAAATTAAATGGTTTTACAGTGCATATTTCCAACATATTTATTGAAAAACCTTGTCGTAGGCAGTGATATTAATTTAAAACTTTCAAAAATGTTCTTAATATAGAGTATTTATGGGATGGAACAGAATACTCTCGCATCAAATGGAGTCAAAATTTCTGGCTGTGCTTTGTTCTGACGTTGGGTCACACAATGACTAAGGCTTTAACTATAATTGACTAGGGAAAAAACTTCATAGTATTTGGAATTTAACTTCTGTAGTGGTATTACTAGAATGCCTAAGAAGGTAAAGATATATGGTCAAAAAAAAAACAAGAAAAATATACTGGACCTACAAGTCAACTACTAGAACAAGACCAGTTCCTACTCAAAAAGAGCCAAGTCTTTTCTGTTCAGTGGAAATGTTCAACGGAGAACTACTATGTATAAAGTTCCAGAATGCATAAACATACATGAAACATCACTGAAGGGATACATTTTTAAGAGCCAGAATTACACACCCAAACAGTACTCTGGGCTCAATGTTCCAATAAAAGTCTACGGCAACTGGATAAACTATTATCACAATTGGGGCTGAGATATAATGACACTTCTCTTTAGCAACATTTCTCTGAATTGTTACTTCCTTCAAATTGTATAGTTTCTTTTAGAAAGAAATGAATATTCTATACACTATGCACTAGAGCAAAGATTAACATTGAAGGCATTGAGTGTCGATTGTCATAAGCATTATTTATACTCACTAACATCCTCAAATACACAGCACAACTTCTTTTAAAAGTCTAAAATTTTTAAATGCTTTTGATTTCCTAGTTCACATTAATGCTACTTTTCTTCCTAGAGAAACAAATTTCACATATGTAACTTCCTCCATGTTCAATAAATCAGCTGAGGCCAGTACTTTTGCCAACTACTATCATCTTAGCTTCAAGTCTGCAACACAGTTGCTAAAGAAATAAGAAATATTCAAAAATATATGAGCCAACCACAAGTCATCAGTCATCTCTTTGAGAAATAAATACAATAGCATTTCTACATAAACACATACAATAAAACATTAATGCATTCTGAAATCATCTTGCTGAAAAATTGTGCTTTGTCCTTCAAATTTCAGTATCACTATTGCACGTGTCCTGCAGAATAGGGTTCAATACATAAATGCTCATCTGGCCAAAATCAACCATTCAGGAAAAAATGAAGAGGAAAAGCAAGGTAAATGTGCAAGTGAAACTGGTGCTTAAAATATATTAAAAATGTAAGCCTCTAAGACAACGAAGTTATAACTTGTAAACAGCCAAGTAACTACACTGGATTTTTCCACATGACTTTAATGAAATCCTATTTAGATAGTGTACATCCACACAAACCAATGAGAGATAAAGATTGCAAGCTAACAAAAGTTACCACATGTGGAATTGAGTTTCCCATTCTTCAGTTTTTAACTATTTTCTTCTATATACGGCAACAATCAACTCAGGTAGAAAATTAGTTATGGATACACTTTTCTCAGTAACAGTCTGGATAGCTTCAGTTTCACGAAAACAGGTATAACTGTTTTAAGCTGCACTTAACACAGAACCTAGCACTCGATCTGAGAGCTTGGCACTCGCCGCATGTTTAGGGCGTGCCTATGTATTTCCTGCATCTGTCTGATCCGGTCCTTTTGCCACATTAAGTTCTGAGGCATAGGGTATCTCTGTGTGCCATGCAAGTATCGGTATGGGATTCTCACGTGGCAGGCAGTGGCTCTACAACGAGGCTGTGGCATGGGAGGAAGAAGCATCCACCTCTTTCTCTCAGCACAGTATCGATAGGCTTCTTTCCGGTACTGTTTGTCAATATCATCACTGTTTTTCCAACCTCCAATAATGAAAACATCCTCTTTATAATAGCAAATGGCTGCTCCTTCAATGCTTAGGACTTCTGGAGGTAAGCTTTCCAGGATGTCATCAGAAACCTGACTGGCAATCTTTCGTACTGCTTCTTCATTTTCTAAAGGGTAACTCTTTGGACAGCATGATGCTGTCTGGTAAAAGTTTGAATTAACCACAGACATCTGGAAAAAGCAATAATTGTCAATAAGTGGCAAAGACTCCACATCTTGCCACTGTCGAGTCTCTGTATCATAACAAGTGATTACACCCTTTAGTCCATCTTCAGTGTCACGATCCACAGGCGTACGGGCAGCAATATACACAAACCGGTCTTCAATGGCAAGTGCTTTAACATCTCGAAGAATCTTTGGTGCTGATTCCAAGTTGTGCCATTTATCAAGTTCAGGATTATAAACAGTGACATCTTTAAAGCCAGGACTAAAGTTGCCATGTCCTCCGATGCTATAGAGCTTCCCTTTGACTTCTGTTAGCCCAAAAGAATGTTTTCTTGTCATCAGACTACAAACATGTTCCCATGTATTCAAATTTGGATTGTACCTTTCCACAGTTTTAGCAAATCCTGGCTCCATTGATCCAGCAACATAAACATAGGATTCTGTAACTGCAACCGCATGTCCATCAAGGTGATTATGAATATGAGGCAGGTTTACCCATCTATCCTCATCAACAAAATATCCCACACACTCACTTAAATAGTCCCCCCCTTCAGACACACCACCAATAACCATGATCACATCCATGTTTTGCCCATAGCGAGGTAATAAAGACACATGAGAAGCAGGGTGTTGGAAGGTTCCGGATTGTATGTTCTCAGCTCTCAGAGCATGCCTCTCTACTGCATCAGCCACTAGCTTGACACAAACTTCATTATTAGCCACCAGCCGTTCTGGTTTGACATGCCGAGTAAGGTAAGTAGGTTTCATCTGGGACAACCTGAGCAATTTAAAAAGTTCTTCAAAGTATCTCTCTCTCTCTTCAGCATTTCTCTGAACCCACTTCAAAACTGTTTCAAAAAGAACCTCTTCAGAGTCAACCGTGATTTCCAAGTCTGAAAGCCAATCTCGAATGAGATGGAAAGGTAAAGTATAAAATTCTTCATCCTGAATTACTTTGTGGAAATTTCTCCGTATCATATCGGCAGCTTTCAGAGCAAGTTGGCTCAGGGTGTACATGTGAGCTAAGCTATGAATGGCTACACAATTAGAAAGATGAAGTTTTTTCTTGAGAAATTCTCCACAAAATTCTTTTAAACGAATTAACAAAAACCTAAAATCAAGAAAAAGAGAAAGGGTTAATTTCTATGTGTAGATATTTCACAAAGTTGTATTTTGAAATGGTGAGATTAAATTCACTTTATGTACATCTGAAAAAACCAAGTCTCTCAAATTAAAAAGTATTGTGCTGAAAAAGCATAAATAAAAACAATCTGTATTTATTTATATATATGTATTTAAATGTTTAGTTTATAGTTAATTACATATAAAGTACACGTTACACACACATAAAGTTTTGAATTACACAACAACAACAAAGTGTTCTGGAACATATCCTCTAATAAAGTAAAAAAATACTTTATTTTTACTTTAATTGGGCCAGGGTAGGGTAGCTGGCCATAGAGGTGGCTCTGGTCTTCAGGGGGCTGTAAGTGGAGGAATGGCTCTGGCCAGCAGCACCAGTGGCAGTGAGGAGGCCTAGGGAATACTTCAGTTGTTGTAATAGCAGAGTCCAGCAGTGTCTTCTCTTGAAGGAACAATTTGGGGAAGTGCTGGAACCCTGGATACCATCCTTTATCATCCACAACAATCCCATCTACTTCCAGAGCTGTGTCCAGGAGTAAACCAACAGTCCTACTGCTGTGGGGAGAGCAGCTGCTGTACCTACTACTGGTGGTTCTAGCTGCTCTGGACTGTCCTCAGCTTCTTTGGCTGCTCTTGCGCATCCCACCACTGATGAGCTAAAAGCTCTAGCTATAGCAACAGCAGCGTGAAACCAACTTGTGGCTTACCATGGGGCTAGCACTGTTTCCACCAGCTCACTGCTTGACCTCTACCTCCTCAGCGCCTTCCAACCCCCAGCCTATGATGATGTGGTGCATTGCCAAGGCATACCACCACCTCCTTACACTGTGGCCCCAGACTGCTTCTTGACTGCTTCCAGTGAACGTTCCTGCTGCTTTTCAGCATCTAGCTGCTCTGCCCACTATGAAGGAACAAGTGTGGAAGTTGTTTCCTCCTACCAGCGTACTCACGCTCAACAGGAGGGCGAGCCTGAGGCAGGGGTTGAGCTCTGCCTCCATACCTCTCTCCTGCTGCGATCACCACCTGAGTGGTAGTGGGCATCAACCTGCTCCCATGACTCCAGCAAAGGTGAGCCAGTTCAAGAGGCAAGGATTAGTGCCACCCCCTCAAATCTGGAGAACCATTCCCCTTGTTCATTGCCCCCACATTCTGTACTCCAGGTCTCTCCAGTGAGGCTGGCTTCTAGTGAAGGAGGTATCCCCTAAATTTAGGAAGGATTGGTAGGTTACTTGCTCACCTTCCCCTGCCCTCCTATAGTCTGCCTACAGAAGCTGGAGCTCTCAGGAGAGACAGTGTTTGTGGACTGTGCTAGCTCCACCCCCAAGACATACACAGGAGCCTTCAATCTCATTAGAGATGTGAATTAAAAAAAAAAAAATCTAAACCCAGACTTGCCTCTGCCACTCTGTCTTAATTTCTTGTCATCACCAGCCTCTTCTGAAATAAGGCAGGGGCTCAGGGAAGAGATTTTATTAAGCACCAATGATACGGTATAACTACCATTCAACAATTTGCCATCGTGTGGTGAGTTCTGTGTTGATGTGATGCTGGAAGCTATGCCACTGGTGTTTCAAATACTAGTAAGGTCCTCCATACCAAACAGGTTTCAGTAGAGCTTCAACACAAGGCACACTAGGAAGAAAGGTCTGGGGATACATGAAATTTCCTATCTGAAAATTAGTCAGTGAGAGCTCAATGAATCACAATAGAACACTGTTTGAATCACTTGCTTTGGACACATCATTAGGAAAGATGGAGGAGGACATCATGTTCGGTGAAGGAAAGGGCCAGCGAAGGCAAAGGAGATCGTTGGTGAGATGTATGGGCACAACAGCCACACAATGAATAGTCATGATGACAACGCAGGAGCAGGGGCAGGAGTAAGGTTGTACAGTAGGTTGTCAGGATCTGGAGAGAAGAGCCAAGCAGGAATTGTGACTCCTTGGAGGGTTTGTTTGGTAAGATAAAAAAAAAAATAGCAGTCCAGGCTTTGTGTTTGAGGCTTTAATCTCCTCTTCAACAGAGCTTTCTCCTTGGGCAACTGATTTCCCATTTAAGCCATGATGGCAAAAAGCAAACTGAACTATCTGAAAAAGCTGGACATAAAACATAATAATACACATGTAAGAGAGGCCATGTGTTAAAAAAACATGTAAGACAGGCCAGGTTGAAAAACAAAAAGGGATGGTTTGGCATTTAGCTGACTACAGGTGTTCTGTCCACCTAAGTTCATTTAAAGTTAAATTTGAAAACAACAGCGACAATGGTTTCAGACAAATTCATACACTGGGCAGTGTGCTCAGCCCTGAGGAGAGCCAATCTGAGATTACCACTATAAACAGAGGTTAAGTCCCAAGAACTGAGAGCCTTAAGACAATATACGGATGGTTTCTTCAGACCAGCCCTACTCAATCTGGTAAGCATTGGTTATTATTGTTATTGTCCTTAGTAACTACCTATGATATAACATCCTGGAGTGGCGTTGTGGGTTAATGTTCCAGACTGTAAGGTCAGTTTGAACTGCAAGGTCAGTGGTTCAAGCTCACCAGCTGTTCCCACCTAGAACAAAGAAAATGGAAGACTCAAGGAAACAAGCAGTCCAAATGACTAATGGCCAACACGAAACACAGATGCCTCTAACTGGAGACCAGAAGAACTAGTGCCTGGCTGGCTACAACACTGACCAGGACCATAATAGAAGATTCCAGTTAGAAGGATTAAAAAAAAAAAAAAAAAAAAAAGCAGAGCAAAATTCAAATAATAATTTAACAAAGAACCCCTGAGAGTATTACCCTAAGACAACTTTCTAACTTGAAACTGAAGACACGCCTGGAGGCCACCTCTCAGCCAAATAACAGACCAAAATCCACTGCCATCAAGTTGATTCTGACTCATAGTGACCCAACATAAGGTTTCCTCCAAGACTGTAACTTTTTACAGGAGCAGTCTCATTTCCGCCCCCACAGAGTGTTTGGTGGGTTTGAACCAGTGTTCAGGAAGTTACTAGTCCATTGCCTAACCCACAATGCCACAGGAATCCTTATATAATTATTGTTGTTGTAAAGTGTTGAGTCGATTCTGAACTCATAACGCCCCTGTAGAGGGTTTCCAAGGAGCAGCTGGTTTGAACCACTGGCCTTGCAGTGCTTAGCCTATACTGCCACCTCAGGACCCCCTTAAATAACAGTGGTGGTGGTGTGCTGTCAAGCTGGTTCTGGCTCACAGCAACCCTGTATAGGGTTTCTGAGGCTGTAGATCGATCTTTCTGGGAGCAGAAAGCCTCATCTTTCTCCCACTATGCTATATTGTTATTGTTAGGTGCCATCGGGTCGCTACCAAATCATAGAGACCTTGTGCACAGTAGAACAAAACAATGCCCGATCCTGGGGCAACCTCACTACTGTTGCCACCAAGCTTGAGTCCACTGATGCTGCCACTTGGCCAATCCATCTCATTGGGAATCTTCCTCTTTTTCTCTGACCCTCCACCTTGCCAAACATGATATCCTTCTCCAGCAACTGGTCCCTCCTGACAATATGTCTGAAGTATGAGAGAC